TGGAGCTGATGTCCTGGTTTGAACTTGCCACCTTCAGCGCTGCGAGACAACACCTCCCGTCTCCTTCTTTTAAAGAGATTCTGCTCTTAAGCCCCCGTCCTGGTGGCATTTTTGTCACAGCAGCGCGAGGGAATGACAACCCCAGCCAGGTCCTCGTCCTCCCCCCAAGGTGGCTGCCAGGGTGTCAGCCATCAGCCGCAGTTCAGGGAAGAGGGGCAGGGACAGGCCAGGAGCCTTAGGGACTCCACACGCTGAGGCAGCCTTCCCACCAAGCTTTCCCAACCAGCTGCTCCGGTGATCGTCTGACAGCTCCTTGTCTGGAGAGTCCCGCGCAGCCACTCAGAGTGCACGGGAAGCTTTCTTCCCGGGGATGGCACGTTGCTGTTTCAGATAGTCACAGGCCTGCTCCTCAGGAAGTTGTGGAAAACGCATGTGGGGCAGTAGTTTGCCTCAATTGCAATGTAAGAAAGGGGATCCCATGACACGGAAAACCCTCCCAATCTAACCGCGGTGGCACATGGGGGACAAACAATGGTGACAGCAGATGGAAATGAGCGAATATAGCTACGCAGGCAGGTGCCTTAAACTCCTGTGAAGCTATAATCTGTAGAAAACGCAGGGATGTTCTTCCGGGTCCAGAGAGATGTCTTCCTATTTCATTTCGCACAAGGAGACAGGACGTAGAAAACAAAGCGACAGGTGGGCAGAGGAGAGTCCCACTTCCGGTCACGGTGTGTCCAGTCATTGGCACGGCCCCTTTTGCTGAGAGCAGACAAGCAGAAGAGCCGATCACAATGCTCTCGGGTTTTCTGCATAAGGAGATGACAAGCAGCTAAGAAGGAAACCGGGGCCCTGTCCTCGACACCCCATCTTCCGGTGACAGCTCCCTGCACTGCCCATGTCCCACAGGGCACCCTGTCCGTCCAACTTCTCCCCAACTCCCCCGCCCCCAACCATCACACTGACCGTCACCCTCCTGCGCGTCTCTACCCTCCCCTCGCACTCCCCCAATCCCCCACCCATACTCACCCACACAAATTCCTTCCCAGTGGGCCCTGAGACTGTCCCTTGGAGGGGAGATACCAGTCCTGGGCCTTGGCTAGAGGCCCTTATCACCAGCCTCCCTTGTGGCTCCAGGTCACCTCCTCCCTGTCTCTGACTGTGGCTCAGAGGCTTGGGGGACAGAGGAAGGCTGGGGAGCTCTGAGGTCATCGGCTCCTGAGCTAGGGCCCAGGCTGCTCCTCAGGGCCTCCTGGGGTCTCTGATGTGCGTGTGTGTGTGTGTGTGTGTGTGTGTGTGTGAAGCCGGTGGCCAGGGGCCCCGTGCATGGGCCGGACATGGGGGCGATTCCGCTGCTCTCAGGGAGTTGACCCTGAGCCCCAGTTCCATTGTCCTCATCAGAGATGGTCATTGTTAAACTGTCACTGATCTCCTCTACAACACGTTCACATAGACACCCACCTAGACAGGTAGACACTGTGCTGTCACTCAAGTCCTCTTCTATGTCAGAGCCCTGCGAGCAAACTCCTGATTGTTTTACTAAAGCGTTCAGTCCAGGTTGATGAGATTTTACACCTCTGTGTTCTTTGGTAACCACACTCAACGCAAGGCCTAATATGTCCCTCCCTCCCTCCGTCCGTCCGTCTGTCCGTGCCTCCCATCCATCCATCCTTTGTGCTGTTTCCAGTGCAATACCCGCGACTCTAACCATAGATCTAAACTCAGTTCTGATTTACCTCACTACACATCGCTTTTGTCAGCTGTGGAGCTTCATAGGGATGGAAGCACCCTGCGCAGACTAGTTTCTACTGCCTTCTTTCCTTCAATGACTGCGGTCAGCAGGTCCAAACCATTAGCCACTCCTGGGGGAAAGACGAGGCTGTAGGACTTCCAGTCTTGGAAAACCACAAAGGGGTATTGCCCTGCAGCATTGCTGCAAGTCAACATTTACTCAGGGGCAGGGAGTTTGGTGTTTACGTGTCCTTTACGTGTGTCTACTCAGAAGTGGGCACATTTGAATCGTGGTTTTGACAAAGAATATTGAATATACCATAGACTGCCAGAGGAACAAATAAATCTGTCTCAGAAGAAGACTGCTCCTTAGAAGGGAAGATGGGAAGACTTCATCCCGCTTACGTTGAACATGCTATCAGGAGATGTGCTACTGCCCGCCTTGCTTGGTAAAGTGGAGAGGGGTGAAAGAGAGGAAGATTGCTAATGAGATAGATCGACACGACACGACACGGTAGCTGCGACCATCGGCTCAGATATAGCAATTCTTGTGAGGATGGCACAGGACTGGGTCAGCATTGAGTTTTGTTGCGGGTGGCGTCACTCGGTGTCAGAGCCAGCTCAACATCACTGAGCCACAAATAAATATTAGCACCAAGCCACATATAAATATGCCACCGATCTGGGGTCTGGTGACCCGTGGATAGACTGTGTCGGTCTGGGTACTTTAGAGAAGCAAATCCACAGAAACTCACATAAGAGAGAGTTTTATATAACAGGGTAAGTGCACATCTAGAAAACATCCCAACCCGGTGCTGCCCAAGCCCACAAGTCCAACATCAGCCCATATGTCCGACGCCAATCCACAAAGTCCTCCTCCATCTCACAAAATACATGCAATGATGCCGACTGCAGGAGGAAAGCTGAATCAGTGAGCATGTAAGCATCTCAGCACTGGCAGGCATCTCCACACGGCTGCTCCAGCACCCAGGGTTGCATTGGGGTAGGTCCATGCGGCTTCTCCTTGGGGATGTCTTGCAGGAAGTCAGCCTTGCCAGCTGAAGCAGGGAA